CCCGCCCCGCCACCACGCAGTCCAGCCTTGACCCTGCCTGCACTCCATAGGTGCTGCCCTGCCTGCCTGGCCGTAATAGTACCGAGAATTGCGGAGCGGGATCGGGGAGAGGGAAAGAGAGAGGGAAAGAGAGAGGGAAAGAGAGGTGAGCTCAGCTCCTCCGTCCCCAGCCCAAGTGCATGTCTATGGCTCACGTATCGGCTTCAGTCCCGACAGTCCCAGGGTGCATTTGTGTCAGTTGTTAGCAGGCGTTTGGAGCAATTTATATCGTTTGTACCAATTCGTATAGATCGCATAGCTTATGGCTAGGTGGTAGTAAGGGTGCGTGTGTGTAGGTGTATGTTAGTGTATGTAAGTGTGAGCGTCTGCGTGAGCATCGCTTTCAATGCCTTTCTCCTGGCGGTCTTCCGACCCTTTCAAGCTAACGCGAACTAACGCTCAAACCGCAGGCTACTACTTTTGCCTTCTGGCGCGGCTAGCGAGGCCGCGCCGCGGCCCCTCAGTCCGAGAGGGTGACCGGCGGGTGACCTGCACGAGTGGGCACGCGGGAGAGCGCGGCCGCCGCGCCCCCGGCGAGCAGCCTCGGGGACGGTCTTTGAGGTCTTTGAGGAGGCCGGGTCACCCAGTCACCGTCGCGTCGCCGGCGTAAAGGCCGTATCACACTGGCTGCTGCCGCTGCCGCTGCCGTCGCCGCTGCGGCTGCCGCCCACCGCTGACCCTATCACACAGCGCGCGGCTCTCCGGCGGCTCGCTGGACGGTTGGCGCTCGGAAAGCATGCGTCATCACATGTCTCGACCGCCTCGGCCGTACCCACTGGGCAACATAACCTCCCTCGCTCTCATTTACATGCTCACAGAGGTGTGAATTCTTTGTACTCGTTCAGTAGCATTGTGCGCTTTCGATTCGGAAACTTAAGAGTGACTCGTCGAACCCATTTTCGACCTAAAATCTAAAACTGAAAATCTGATCACTTTTTTTTTAGTGACTATTCCGACTTAAGTGCGGTGTTCACATATACACCAGATATTTTCCCAGCTTCATTGTTATCACAATAACTTTTCTCAAACAATTTAATCCATATACCCGGTCTGTGAGACAAAGTTCAGTGGCTTTTTATCCGCCTACCCCAGTTTTAGTCACGAGAGTCAGTATTCGTAGGTCACTTCGCTGAATCCAGCCCTTCTCATTGGCTGCCGTTGCCGCTGCCGCTCAGAAATATAGACGGCCGGCTATCCTGGCCGCCGGCGGCGCCGCCGCCGGCCGCTCGCCTCTGATTGGTCGAGAGGAGAGCGGCAGCGGCAGCGGCAGCGGCGACGGCAGCGGCAGCCGCCAGTGTGATACGGCCTTAAGGGCCACTGTTACACTACAGGCGCAGCTGCTCGCAAGGCTGCGCGAGTAGGAGGAGGAGGAGGGGGGGGGGTCTTTTGGCAAGTTTTGACAGAGTACACGCGTTGAGGCGCCGCTAAAGCCTTTTCATGCCTATTTCCATTCAGTGTGTCGCCGGGGCGCTCACGGGCGAGGCGCTAACTCGCCAATGTGCTTCGACACGTGCAAAGCTCCCCCCCCCCCCCGCCCCGCCACTGTCACTGTCATGGGCGTGGCATGAGCGCCGTGTAGCCCGATGTGGTATGGTTAGTCACGGCATGGAGGTGGTCAGTTTGGCACGTGTGATTGACCGTTTGTACTACAAGTATCGAGGCTACCTCGCAACGGGAAGGGGAAGTTGAACCAGTTAAATCGGGCAGAACGTATAGCAATATTTCGCATACATTGTGGAACAAAGAGTGCGGGCGCTCCCAACTCCAGCTCGGCGCAGTGCAGAGGTGTAATGAGATCCTTGCACTTGAGCGGGGCAGGGGACGTCGTGCAGGCGACACGGGAGACAGCAGGGACAACAGGGGCTGAATTGAGTCATCATCCAGACAAAATAGCTGCGTCGTAAACCAACAACACACACACGCACACACACACATGCTCGCTCACTGGCACGCGGCTGCTGTGGCTTTTAGAGGGGAGGCAGAAGACAGGGCAGCGAGCAGCGAGCGAAGTCTGAGGACGAGTCGAACCGGTAGAACCAACAGGGCCATAAGAAGTGACAACTGTCGCTTGTCTTGTCTTCTTTTTTTTCTCCGCCTCCTCCTCCGACTCCTGGACAACATGTTCGTCGTGCTCTGGCACGGACGATGACCGCTGGTCTCTGCCTCGCAGTGGAGCCCAACTCACTTACTCACTCACTCTGTCTCTCTCTTTCTCTCTGTCCCCTCAGATACACAAGCGCGTACACGAACACACTGTTTGAGAGTCGTAGGTTCGACTCCCAGCTAAACCGCAAGGTGGTGAAAGGCAGGAAGTGAAATGAAGACAAGGTGACAGCGCCCGCGCGACACTGCCTCTTGCCCTTAGAAACCACCCGGTTCGGCGGGGCGGGACGGGGCGGGGCGGGGCCGACACACACTAGAGGTGTGGGGGTCTCGGCCGGCCTGGGTCCCCGCGGGTACATTTTACGAGTTCCTTTACACTCCTCAGTAACACCTCAAGCCAACTGTACCGCAGTCCGTTACGCGCCTCTGGCCGGGTTTGCGCGTGGCGTGGTGGGGTGTGGCGGGGGCGTGG